GGGGGGGGCCAGGGAGTATGCCACCTCCCAGGCACAGGGGCTGGAGGGTGAGAGCAGACATGCCCCTGTACAGGCTGCACCCATGCGAGCTGGACAGATGGGGGGCTCATACACTGCGGCCGCGCCACAACTCTGCTGCTGCGCTCCATGCTGCCTTCCCACGTCCAGCTGCACAGCTTTGTGGGCAAGCAGCGCGGGAACAGCGGCCGCATATGTGCAGCGTAGCTGACTGGGCATCAGGGGAAGGAGCGGGGGTTCGCATGCAGCAGCCACAACTGCACCAGTGCTTGTGCCCCACAGCTGGCTGCATGGCTCCACGGCGGTGTGGGATGGTGGCTGTATGCCGGCTGGGGGATGGGGCTTGCACACAGTGACCACCAGTGCTGATTCTTGCTTGTGGAGCCATGACTGTGTGGAGGCAGCTGTCACACACAACCCCCCCCCCCAATCTGGGGGCACTGCTGTGAAGACAGTTGCACAGTTCTGCAGACACGGCTCCACAGGCAAGTGGCAGATGCTGCATGCAAATCCCCCCCGCAAGTGGCAAGTGGCAGCTGCTGCCGCGAAGCCATGCCCACGAAGACATGCAGCTGGTTGTGGCAGCCGCCACCACACCTCCACTGCTGTGCCCCCACTAAGCTGTGCGGCTGGCTACAGGAAGGCAGCACAGGGCGTGGTGCAAATCCCACCCCAGCCAGCCAGAGTGTGTGGCCCACAGAGGGACACCCCTGCTCCTGGGAGTGGGCCAAGGTGGGGGGCAGAGAGGTGCTGTGGTGCCCTTTCCCCTCTTCCTCCCCCTCCAGGCAGGGCTGGGGGTTTTCTGCCCTTTGTACAATCAGCTCTTGCCACTTGGAACTGTGCCAGCCTGCAAGAGCTCTCTGCAAAAGCGGAGAATCCATGGATTTCTCTGGTAAGAGGAAATTGATGTTTTCTCTGATAAGACAGGGAAGCCATGGTTTTCTCTGTTTTTCTGTGGGAAATGGAAAACCCAGATTCCTGATAATGACCTACTTTACTTGTAGCAAGAGAAAGTAATTTTTGCAGCCTGGTCATGGGCCTGAAGAGCCAATTTCTCAGTCATTTTGCGGTAGTCCCACCCCTTGACTGTTTGGCCGAGGCATGAGGGGGCAGGTGCCATTATTGCAGTTCCCGTTCGTGCTGCTCTGCCAGCTGGTGCCTTCCCCTCCCAGGCAGGCTGCAAGGCTAGGCCACATCAGCAGCAGCAGCGACTGCTGCCTTCGATGGGGGAGCTAGCATTTTATTTTTAAGGGTTTGGGTTTTTTGCTTGAATTGCTGGGGGAAAAAAAAAAATCACTGCCAATGCCACTTTTTGCAGCAATCATGGAGAGAACCATTTTTTGTTGTTTTCACTAAAATCACAAAACTGTGATTTAATTAGGTTCTAGTTATAGGATTAAAGAGATCTGGCATTACATAAACAGTGCTTATGTAATAAACTGTATGAAATTGATTCTGAGTCCAGTACTCTTATTAATATAGCTACTCTCCAGTCTGAATAATTGAGTAGTTAAGCAGATAATGAAGACATTTTGGCTGTAGTTAACTACTGTTAGTTAAAATCTAAAACTGGAAGTTAAGATAATAATGGTAAAATATTTATCTTGCCCTATAAAGGCTGATTGTAAGTTTAAAATTACAGTAACTGTTATTTTGCTACAGAAAAGTAAATTAGATTGCTACTTTTTATTCACATTGAACACTACTTCCATTTTACACATACTTTTACTACTAAATTTGGCCTCTAGTCTGTGGTAGAGGGACCTCAGATAATGAAAGGCAATCTAGGAGCACAGAAGCACTCCTTCCCTTCCCCAACTCTTTACAGGCCTTGGTGCAAGGTGCTGTGTTGGCTCCTTAAGTTATCCACAGTATCAGCAGCAGCACGTGGTAGTGGAAATAAGAAATCCTATTTGATGCCCTTACTTAGTTTCCCACTTTGATATTGCATGTGGTTTTATTTAAGAGTGATGGCGTGCAGCAGACAAACTACCTCGCCCAACGCTACTGTCATGAAGCAATGAAAGAGATCAGTAAACTGCGACCTTCCCCTGAAAGAGATGCCCTCATTCAGCTCACAGAAATGGTACTTACCAGAGACAAGTGACAAACTCCTTCCACTAGTTCTGGCGGCAGCTATGTACCAGATGGTGCCTACATTTCCTTTTGGAACATTGTGGTTTGCTTCCAGTGCAGGTTACCAAAAATTATTTTTTTTAAAAAAAGGAAAAAGAAAGACCCCACTGGAGTTGCACTTTTTTTTAAAAAAAAGTTGAGATGTTTTATTGAAGGAAGCCATACACCTGTGAAATCAATCAATCCATTTATTAAATTCTATTCATGCTGTATAATGTTTTAATGAAAACTTTGATGTTGTGTGGGGCATTGTTTACACTTAATGTTAATGCACAAGGCCACAATAAAAATAAATATAATCAATGTATTAAAATGAATGTGCTTCAACTTTCCCTTTCTTGTTTATAATATATGGTGTGTTAGGCTTTATTGTGAAAATAGACAATGGCTTGAATGCTTTGTCAGTGTCAAACTTCAGAAGTACCCAAAATTTTATATAGGAGAATGGTTTATTATAAAAGACTGTACATAAACTTTAATAGGTTATATACAAATTAAAAGAAACTTTCCAATTTATAAAGGAAATACAGGTAAGTTACTGGTTGCTAAATTTTTAGAAAATCAGATTAATAGTTAACAAGAAAAGGCAGTAAGCATTTGAAATAGTTACAATGGAGGCAGGTGAAGGAGTTTCAATATTCAGTCTTCCACTAGAAAATGAATAATTCAGTAACCAAATTTCCAAGCCACCAGTCTTTTCATCATTTTATTACAGAGGTGTGTGTATTTTATACCTCACTAGAACAGTACTTTGAAGTCCAAAACCAATCCTTACTACATAATTCTCCAGTACTACAGCATATTCTACATCAGATAACCTAAGCAACACACTGCTTTGTACAAACTGAGATGAACATCCCATCTAACCTTTTGCCTGAATTCCCTTAACTCAAAAGGAAAGGCAAAGTGCATCTGTTAGTTCCCAGTACTAAAAACATAACAGGATGTGCATATCTGTTCCCGTGTCCCATAGTTAAAAAGGACTGTTAGCTCTTTCTGCCTTACTTGGCCTGTTACCGGGTCCAAGCATAAAATATTTTTTCTCCTATTTGATCCAGCGTGCAGTTTGTTTTGAAGAACGTCATTTTCAGTGAACTGCATCTATTTATTTAAAAAAGAGTGCATTGGACACAGTCAGAACTTCTTTCAAAGTACTCATCTTACATAAAAGGTGTAAAGATCTGCTAAGATTTTCAAAGGATCTTAGGAGAGGTTGTGGTAACTGGATGACTTCACTTTCATTGGCTCCTTGCCATAGTAGTTTAAGGGTACAACACTTTTAATCTCAGTGTATTGCCAGCGATAACACAACCATATTTTTGTTAAATTAGCATTTCAGATCACTTTGCCAAGCAAACCAAAGTAATGCACGAGACCTTTGGTTCACTTGTATATTTATGAATGGAAAAGTCATAATGCAAATTTACTCATTTAAAAAAACTTGAGTACAAATTACACATACAGAAGACCACCCATTTTTGATTCACATGGACACCTTAGAGACTCAAACAATTCATTGCAATAAACTTTTAGTGAGAGTACTCCAAGTAAAGATTACAACAGATTGGAAGCATCTTGGATTTTTAAAAAAGTATCATTTCAATACATAAGTCTGTATGCATGCTTTAAACAAATAGTATAGTTCAAGAATGAGCAAGAGTCTAAACAAAAAGTAATATGACCAGCACTAACATTAAACTTTTCATCCAGATTTTTAATATGTTAGTCTAACTTAGTGTTAGTTACCATGCTGCACTGAAAAATGTAATGGCACAATCTGTATCATGGTTCATTAAATATTATGCCCTACTTCCCCAAAATATTTAGGCTGGTCATAAAATTAACAATGCATAAGTAAATAAGTATAACCAGTAATAGACAGTTGTTTGTTTTACAAACTGCCATCAGATCAGACTAACTGTCTCCAGAGACTTATGCTTATGGAGATGGACATTCAATCATACCATTAAAATAGGATGGCTTGAAGAGATGGGCACATTTTTCCTTAAAGTGTATTAAGATTATTCTGTTACCTTTAGTTACCCCTTGCAGATAATCATGGTATGACCGAATACAAGACTCAACTTGAAAAGTAAAGGATTTTAATCAGCATAGTGCATGATTGATTCAACGTAATTCCCAGGGAACAGGCCAGTCACACGATTGCAAACTCCTTCATACCAGCCATCATCATTCTTCTTTATCACGTAAATGATTGCACCCTCCATAAATGACAGCTCGTCATCCTTGTCCTTTGTATAGTCATATATAGCAACAACTATGGAGTGGAGAGAGAGTGAGTTTGGTTCAGAATGGTATCCAGTAAAACAGCATTTTGAAAATTTTTAGAACAACATTTGTAATGGCATCTTAAGGATCTCCACGTTTATAGCAAATATTTCTATACCTGGTGGCTACTTACAAACAGGGCGGCAGGGAACCCCCAAGTGCTTTACTTTCAACTTGGTGCGACCCCGCACTGAGTACAGTGCATGCTCAGAAGAGGCATTGCATTAGTTTGACCCAGTGCGCCCAACATCTGTATAGATTGCACACTTGAACAAGGCTTTTTGGTGCTTCTCTCATAGCTGATTGAATATGCTTTAGATAAAAAGCACCGAAACCCCCTACTTACGCACCCAATCTATACAGACGCTGAAGTGCTGGGTCAAACTAATGTGCTTCCTCTTCCAGTAAAGTGCTGTGTTATTTTGTTTTTTCCATGTCTGTCAGTGCTCAGGGTCTCTCTGCCATCAACATGATTCTTTAGATTTCAAGCTACATTTTCTCTCACCCATCAAAAACAGTAAAAGTGTAAGCCAAGTTAAGCACTCAGTCACCCAGCTTGTGCAGGCATGACTGTTTGAGACTTCATAAAAGCATTTAAGGGAAAGATCACTTAGGCAAATAAATAGCTAATGTAACTCATACAGACAACTGTTCGTTACTTCAAATCAGCAGGTATAGCTCCAAATGTACACATCTCTTCATTGAGGTATCATTTATAGTTATTTCAATGAGTAGAACCATACAAAAGTAAGACTTGGATCTTCACTGAATGTTCATGTAGTACAAACTTCAGTGTCAATTCTAAAGCACGGGACTAAACAGATGAATTTGCTGTAAGAGCCAAGAGGAGCAGAGGACTTCTGTGGATCTACAGACCTCCATGCTGCCAATGAATGTGGTTCTATGCTTCAAGCAGTATTTTGGGAGGGATATGAAGTCTGTATATCAAACACTCAGATTGGAGACTTGCCAAATTTCCAAGGTGGCAGACATTCAGCAGCCTTTACTGCAAGGCCATCTCTCTTCCATGCAGTCCCCTGCCACATTTGCAGTGTGCCTTCAAACATCAGCAGTAAACAAAGCATGATCCAATAGGCAATAGCCTCGTCCTTCACCCTACAGCCCTGATACACACCAGGTGGACAGTCCAGCCCATATGCTAAATGACGTAGCAAGCCAGCACAAAATAGCATATGATAATGTAATTAAAGGCTGGCTTTCCCAATGTTTGAGTGCTTGACTTGGTAAACTTCAGATTTTTTTAAGGTACTTTTTGGTATATAATGCAAGTAACTTAAAATCTGTTTCTATTGTTCAGCTTCACATTCCTTAATTCAAACAGTAAAGTTGTGGTACTGTGGTTCTTCTATGGAGAAGGGTGTGGTATAGCCATCTGGCTACCAGTGTATAAAGTTACCCTGATCCCCATGAACTGGTGTTAAAAAAACCCAAACAAAACATTGTTTTCAAAAGAACGTCACTGCCACTGCATACAGAAAATAGATTCTGACTATCCCTCAAACTTTCTGGAACCACATGAAGCTATCTTCTAGCTGCAGTCAAATATTTTAATGCAGTAGGTCATAGGGGATTTACTGCTGCCCGAAACGGTCCCACACTGATGGCTTTCCAAGCGGAGCATCACCGTACAGGTAAGAAATGGGCTTTTCAGTTATTCAGAGGAATATTCTTATGGATGAGGCTTAAGGAGCTCCACAAGAAAGTAGGATTTAAGATAAATGGAGGCATTTCCCATATTATCACTCCATTGTAACAGTTAAATGGCAAATCATTTCATTGAGTTAAAAAGTTTACAAGTTTGCCCTTACTGGGCACTTAGTAAGGTTATTTCTGGGCAGGTGTCCAGCAGTGCTGAAATAACTGTAGCTGGTATAACAGTTTAACAAATAAGACAAATGAAATCCAATTTACAGATAATGATGAAAAATTTATCCACTTCATTCTGGTACTCTAATATATTTTTAAGATCTTTTAGCATAGCACCAAGGATTAGGCTGGTTGCCATGACTGAAAAGTTAGGAAAGAATGAGTGTAGATGAGACTGAGCAGGAAGATTTTGGTATTCTTTCCTCATAGTCTACAAGTCAATCAGTACATGGACACTGTGGCGGTATGTAATTGGGATGAATCTCTTACCTTTCTCTATGTAGTTTTTAGGTGCCCATGCAGGGTCCCCATCTGCATATGGATCACTGTACTGCACTACTGCAGCCTCCTCATCTTCATAATCCACTGGGGGTGGAGGTGGGGGAGGGGGAGAGTCATCAAACATAGGCATCTCATCTGGAGGTGGTGGGGGAGGAGGAGTTGGACTATCCGCAACTGGAAACATGAAGAGTCACATCAGAAACTGTGTGCAAGTGCAATCAAACCTTACCAGGTACACTGCATAGAGAGCCACACAGCATGCACTACAGTACCATGCACCAATTAGAAGCTTTGTTAAAGCTACAACACACAACTAATGTTACTAGTGGTCAAATCTATGTGTAAATGCTACTAGAGTCAAAGCACATGCTCCAAAAGCAGAAGCTGTTGCCAGCAGAAAGGGGTTTTTGTCTTTATCTGTGTAGAAGGAGTTACTAGAGCAGCTGCTGAACCAGGCAAGAACTGGAGAGGCTCACTTATGGTTTAACTAAGTAAGAAAAAGCAGGTTCAGAGGAAAAGCTCTGCACAGAAAGTTATCTGACAGGACATACCCAGAATTCAACTGGTGAACTAATATAGGCAGAATTCAACTGGTGAACTAATATAGGCAGCCACTGTGCTTGGGAGAGGATATTTTAGGACTCAGATGTGCTAGCTACCAAATTGCTAAACAGATTCCCCAGTCAACACAATTAAAAAGTAACTCACATATAGCAAAAGAGGAAAACCATATTAAAAAGCAGGTTTACAAAGACATTTGTGCACCTCCAATCAGTTTTCAGCAACATTCTGAATCAGTGACAGACAGGAAACAATCAGAAGAAACAAGCAGCAGCTCCTGACCATCAAGCTTTTCCATCAAGTCAGCAAACTTGTCTCCCAACATCATACCACAGTTCTCCACATTATACTAGCCCGTGAGTCCCACCTACCCACCCCATAAGAGACCCACACTTTGGAGGTTTCCTTATGTCAATTCCATTTGCTCCCTAATATTTTTCATTTTGCCCATCAGGACAGAGGTCAACGGCAGATAACGCCACCCTAGCCTGATCCCTGTCTTTAGGAAGCTTCTAGACTAGACCTGCTGCATTTCCTCTGCCTAGCCAGATATTAGGAAAACAGCCGAGATTAGTTTTAAACTGCAGCTAGTACAATAACTGTAAGACAGATGTGAGCCTATGCTGAAATGAAAGCTACTGGGCACAAGGGAGGTTACAAGCAGAATTCCCTAGGGAGGGGGAGTCTTGGGGCTGATGTTATTAAATAACTTAAATGAAGACCTTGGCACAAAGCTAGGAGTATGCTAATGATATGTACTGGTAACAAAATAAGAAGGTGCTGTAAAATAGGATGGGAATACTATACAGGAAGAATAGGATGACCTGGAGTCCTGGAGTAAGATTTATACCTTGCCTATTACTAAGTGCAATATCACGTATTTGGACTACTAAGAATTTGTTACAAGGAGGATGTTCATCAGTTGGAAGTGAATCAGGAGACAGACCCCAGAGTATTAGCTGAGCACAAGATTACTGAATCACTGATTTGATATTAGGACACATCGGGTACGGATATCCCCACAGAGCTAGGGAAACATTCATGCCTTTTTACCAGGCACTGGTAAAGCCTTCTGTGTACAGTTCTGGTTGCTATGTTCAATCAAGGGAAACAGATTTTGCTGGAGCATCAGGTTCACATGGTAGTAATCAATGGTTCAATGTCTAGTTGGTAGCCGATATCAAGTGGAGTGCCCCAGGGGTCAGTCCTAGGGCCAGTTTTGTTCAATGTCTTCATCAACGACCCAGGAAGATGGCAGAGCGCGCCCTCAGTATGTTTGCAGATGACATCAAGCCGGGGGGAGTAGTAGATACGCTGGAGGATAGGGCTAGGATTCAGTGACCTAGACAAATTGGAGGATTGGGCCAAAAGAAATCTCATGAGGTTCAACAAAGACAAGTGCGAAGTCCTGCACTTAGGACAGAACAATCCCAAGCACCAGTACAGACTGGGGGCTGACTGGCTGGGCAGCAGCTCCGCAGAAAAGGACTTGGGGGTTACAGTGGACAATAAGCTGAATATCGGCCAGCAGTGTGCCCTTGTTGCCAAGAAGGCTAATGGCATACTGGGCTGCATTGGTAGGAGTGTTGCCAGCAGGTCAAGGGAAGTGATTATTCCCGTCTATTCATCACTGGTGAGGCCGCATCTGGAGTAGTGTTCAATTTTGGACCCCTCACTACAGAAAGGATGTGGACAAATTGGAGAGTCCAGTGGAGGGCAACAAAAATGGGGAGGGGGCCAGGAGGATGCGACTTATGAGGAGAGGTTGAGGAAACTGGGCCTATTTATTCTGGAGGAGAGAAGACTAAGAGGGGATTTAATAGCAGCCTTCAGCTACTTGAAGGGAGGTATGAAAAAGGATAGAGCTAAACTGTTATCAGTGATGGCAAACAACAGAACAAGGAGCAACGGTCTCAAGCTGCAGCCACCAGGGAAGTTTAGGTTAGCTATTAGGAAGAATTTTCTCACTAGGAGGGTAGTAAAACACTGGAACAGGCTACCCACAGAGGTTGCAGACTCTCCATCCTTGGAGGTTTTCAAAAGCCAGCTAGACAAAGGTTTGGCTGGGATGATATAGTTGGGGATGGTCCTGCCGTGATCAGGGGATCAGACTAGATGACCTCCTGAGGTCCCTTCCAACCCTCATTTTCTATGATTCTGTGTGGCAGCTGCCTATAACTGCAGGGGCTAGACTCAAGAGCCCTGAAGGTCTTTGCCAGTACTATGAGCTACTTATATCTAAGCAAATCCACATATACTAGCCACCAACACAAGGGCATCTATCTATATAATCCCTTATACAGAAGACACCCATTTACATACAATACAGTGAAAGACCCTACAGTTACTTGTATTCTGAGGATAACAAATGTAGGTTTTTGTTGGAATTAGAAAGGAGTAGACCTCAGGCTGGTAATCAAAACTGAACTGAAAACAGTGTACTCTCTTCCCCACTCCAAATCAAAGCCTTAGGATAAAGGTGTTCTATTAATAGTCTTTTTTTTTTTTTTTTTTTTTTAAGGACAGTATATTCTGAGCGTCTTCCCCCACATCCTGCTTCGTCTAGGTCTATTTATAGTTCCCAACACCTTTATCCTAAGAACATAAAAAATGCTATTCTGGGTCAAACCACAGGTCCATCTAGCCCAGTATCCTGTCTCAGTCCCTAGGCAACAAACAGGCGTGTCTCTCAGTGGCAGAGATGGTGGCTAAAGGGTATTTAAAAATCCTAGAGGCATCTGCAAGCTGGCTCTGCGTGGAACGTGGCAGCTATTTAACAATAAACAATTCAGAACACAGGAAGTAAACATTCAGCATCCTGATGGCTGTCTTTGAGGTCAGCAGGCACAGTGCAAGGGCATGGGAAGAGTGGCTAAGAAATGGTATCCACTTGTGTCTGTAGGAAAAAAGGAAGGAATTTGGCTCATGCTCTCTCCTGGTAAACTACCAACAAGCAGGTGCGTAACAGGCAGGTACAAGCACACAGGCAGGTACAAGCCAGGGGAGCGTGACCAGCAGGCCGAAGTCAGCCAATGGACCATATCATTTGACACACACTACAGAAAAAAAAAATTAGCTGTACCAGTTGCCTAGCATGGGTGCCCAGACAAGCTGACAGCTCCAAGCTGTCAAGTTAAACAACCAGGTTTTGTAGACTTGCATTTAAAATTCCACTAACAGTAAAAAAACAAGTCAACTAGGAGAGAAAAGCATAGTGATGAGTGAAGCTTTCTGGGGAATGTATGTGGGGGGAGAATTAAGGGCGAAATTAAGAACGTAATCATAGGTCATTAAAATACTATTATCTGATTATTCCCCACCTCCACCAAGCTATTAGTGGTTCTTTCTCCATATGAATATTTACTTATACTGCTTTCATGAGTTGGACCAATTCCATAATCCTTCTTTCTAGTGAAAGGAATTGTCTTTTGTCACTGCCTGCCCTATAAAACAGGATTTACTAGCAGTCAGTTTACTGACTCAATCCACTTCACATAGACACACATGTACACACAAATAAATGAAACCATTTATGAACTGGATCCATTTTCTACATTATCTTGCACACACATTTCACAAATGAATTTCCAACTCAATTTTCTAAATATATATTTTCCTCCCAATATCCATTCTATTGAGCATTTTGAATTCGACTGAGATCTGAATTGTTTAATCCTGAGTCAATTTTTGGCCAGTTTTAGCCAATGAAAAATCTTTATTTTATGAATGAATTAAGGTTGCTTTTTAAAAAGGAGCAAAGGAGGGTTTTAAAAATACAAAAGTGAAAGTGCCAACAGATGCACTGCTTTGGCTGCAGTGCCAATCAAGCACATTTTATGGGAAACACTGAAAATAAATAAAATTCAGCTTCACATTTAATGGGAAAAATGAAACAACAGAACATACTTCATGTGCATCAGTAACTCTGCACCAGCTGAGTTAACCTTGCTCTTGGAACTTTAGCCTTTATATTTCTGGACTGATTTTAAGCCTGGACAATTCTGAAGTTGCAGTGTCTTGAGGTTTTGTAATGTATTATTTTCTTTTAAAGGAGAAACGGCCAAGGCAATACCTGTTCTCTGTATTACTATTTACATCGCTCCAAATCCACAGTATTGTGCATATAAGATGAGGGAGGGAATATATTTTTGTAAAAATGCTGTTGCAACTACTGTCTAGGTAGAGACAGGTATTTTACAAGAAATGAATCATAAATAGGCAGTAGCAACACATCTACTTCTACTGCACTGGTTGTGACTGTAGAGCAGATGTATTTAGCTAAACTGACTGAATATTCTTCTATGAAGATACCCACAGTCAGGTACAGGGCGCAGGAAAAAATATAGTTCTTATGGAATTGCTTTCAGAGGGCAATGAAAGAAGGGCTTAGGAGTCCAGAAAGCAGCCAGAGGATAATGCTTTCCAACCCCAGATATCCCTGTATCTGTTAAGATGGGAATCCCTTATTCCATGGAAGGCAAGCCTATCTATGCTGCTCCTTGATGCCCTGATCCCCACTCCCCCAGCAGCAGTATAGATCACTAGGGTGGAGGGAGGTAAGGGTGCAAAAATGAATTGGACAAAGCTCAGAGACTCTCTTAAAACACATTTTGTAGAGTGCATGTTTAGCTAGGAATATATGCACTGCTGCCTCAGTGAGACGTTAGGGACAACTCTCGTTTTCTGCTCTGCAAACTCAGTGCCCAGTTTTCAAATACAAATGGCTTCATCAAAAATCCAAAACTCTCCTCATGCCCACTCTCCTAATCTATCTGGAATGGGGGAGGAGGCTTAAGGGGGAGCCTAAGCTTGAAAAAAATAAATCTGAAGTTTAAATTTTCCAGAAAGTTATTAGCACACAAATGTTTTGTAACCTTGGTCTCTGATGGACATTATCCCAACATTGCACAGAAGGATTTTGGATGCAAGCTTGGGCCACTTTATTTTATTCTACGTAGGCGTGTACCTACACAGGCTCAAACACTTTAGCTTCGGGCAAGACCCTGTGGAATGGTTAGGTT